CAGGAATGTGTCGTTGAACAAAGTTTGAGTCCAGTGGCACCTTTAAGACCAACAAAGTTTAATACTGGGTATAAGTTTTCATGTGTATGCACACTTCAGATACATTGAAACAGACTTCGCCAACCATTGCATATAGTTTCCAGGAAGGGCTAATTGGAGTCAAGATGCATAAGTACCTGAGTGATAAGTATAGCTAAGATTGGATTAAACCAGTTGGTAAAGTGAATAGCAGCAGATGAGCATACAGATAATAAAAGAGTTAACAAACAGATGCAAACTGAGTGACTTAGCATGTGTAGTGGGATAAGAACCTGATATCTCCGTTAAGCCCTGGGGATTCCATTGTCCTGAGTGTTGTAATAACTTGTAATTCATCAATCTCCCATTCTAGTCTGTTTCTGAAATGCCTTTGCAATAAAACAGCTACTTTGAGGGCCCCTGTTGAGTGTCCTGGGAGGCCCGAAATGTTCTCCTACAGGTTTCTCAATGTTATGATTCTTGATGTCTGTGCAAGAATTACATTTTCTGGGCACTACTGTAAAAATACACAATGGATGCATAGATACCACCTTATACTGGAAACCTACTAACTGACAAACATATCTCCATGTCTCCAGCTACCATCCTAAACATGCCAAACAATTCATTGTATACAGCCAGACTCTACACTACAGCCACATCTGTTCCAATCCTACAGACAGAGATTCTCACCTGAGGGATCTACAACAAATCTTTTTGGAACTAAAATGTCCACCTGATGAAGTCAAGAAACAGATTAACAAAGCCAGAATGATACCCAGAGAAAACCTGTTGCAAGACAAAAAAGACAATAACAGAACACTACTAGTGGTCCCATACAGCTCTCAGCTCAGAACAGTTCAGCACATCATCAGCGACTTAGAACCATTACTGGATAATGACAGTTCTCTTTCACAAGCACTGGGGGGCAGACCTTTTCTTGCTTACAGACAGACCCCCTTATCTTAAACAATTCCTCATCCACAATAATACAACATCTAATTTAAACATGGAAACTGGTACCAGAGCTTGCAATAAACCCAGATGCCAACTTTGCTGCCACATAACACCTAGACAACCCAGTCACTGGACCTGACAACATTAACTACACCATCTCAGGCTCTTTCACTTGCTCATCTTCTAACATTGTATATGCCATTAAATGCCAACAATGCCCATCAGTTCTCTACACAGGGCAAACAGGTCAAACCCTACGCCAAAAGATTAAATGACACAAATCTGATATCAAGAATCACAACATTGAGAAACCTATAGGAGAACATTTCCGCCTCCCAGGACACTCCATGGGGGACCTCAAAGTATCTGTTTTATTGCAAAGGAATTTCAGAAGCAGATTAGAACAGGAGATTGCTGAATTACAAGTTATTACCACACTCAGGACAATGGAATCCCCAAGGGCTTAACAGAGATATTGGGTTCTTATCTCACTACACATTCCAAGTCACTCAGTTCTCGCAACATGACTCCTCTTATGTTCTTAACTCTTTTATTATCTTTATACTAATTTGCCGCTATTCACAGATCTTACCAACTGGTTTAATCCTATTTTAGCTATAGTTATCGCTCAGTTATTTAATTATCTTAACTCCAGTTAGCCTGGCAACTAACACCCCCCCTTACCTATATGTAATGGTTGGTGAAGTCTGTTTCAGTGTATCTAAAGAAGTGGGCATACACATGAAAGCTTTAAACTTTGTTGGTCTTAAAGGTGCCACTGGACTCAAACTTTGTTGTGTTGCTACCCACCTGAATTTAATTTAGTGATTGTTATTTATTTATTTATTTAATTCGACTTTTCAGCCGCTCACCCCTGGTAAACTGGCTCAGAGTGGTGCACAATATAGTAATAAAACATCAATTAAAATTAGGTTAAAGCCAATAGCAAAGAAAAATACAGCTAGAGATGGCACAAAATAACACCACTATCTCACAGGAGGGGAGGGGGCTGGGAGTGCCAGAATGGAACCGTCGCTGTCCTCAACCAAATGCCTGGCAGAACATCTCTGCCTTGCATGCCCTGTGGAACTGTAACAGGTCTTGCAGGGCATGGATGTTGGCGGAGAGTTCCACCAGGTTGGAGCCAGGGCAGAGAAGGCCCTGGCTCTGGTTGAGAACAGCTGGATATCTCCTGGGCCGGGGACCACCTATAGATTTTGTTCAGCAAAGTGCAGCACTCTTCTGGGGGTATATCAGGAGAGGTGGTCCCAAAGGTACATAGGTCCCTGACTGTTAAGGGCCTTGAAGGTCAATACCAAAACCCTGAACCTGATCCGGTACTCCACTGGAAACCAGTGTAGCTCACACAGCACAGGATGGATATGTGCTATGCGCCGTGTCCCTGTGAGGACCCGTACCACTGGGTTCTGTACCAGTTGGCATTTCCGGGTCCGTTTCGATGGTAGGCCCACATAGAGCAAGTTCCAGTAATCCAGCATGGAGGTGGTCGTTGCATGGATTACAGTGGCTAGGTCAGGACGATGTCATCCATCAAGAGCTGGGAACTGGCACCCCACACCAGAATCCACCCACCCCTGCCACAGAACTTCCATCTTAGAAGGATTCCATCTCAGCCGGCTCTGTTTCAGCCATCCCACCACAGCTCCAACCCCTCTGCCAGATTTTCTGGAGTGGTATCCGGCCAGCTGCCCATCAACAGGTAAAGATGTGTGTCATCAGCATACTGGTGACACCCCAGCCCAAACCTCCTCACCAGCTGGGTGAGGGGATGCATTTAGATGTTAAATAACATTAGGGAGAAGATTGCCCCTTGAGGGATCCTGCATAATCAGGGGTACCTGGACGAAACCCTCTCTCCTTGTGGTTCCCTCTGTCCCTGACCTTGGAGAAATGAGGTCAGTCACTTCAGGACTACCCCACAAACTCCTATGTCAGCAAGGTGGTGGGTCAAAAGATCATGGTCAACCATGTAGAACACTGCTGTGAGATCTTGCAACACCAGCAGTGCCGACCTGCTTCGATCCAGCTGTCTGCAGAGCTCATCTGTGAGGGTAACCAGAGCCGTCTCCATCCCATAGCCAAGGCGGAAACCAGTCTGGAATGGTTCCAGTGCCAATGTGTTATCCAGAAAGCTCTGGAGCTGCCCTGCAACCACCTTCTCAGTTACCTTGCCAAGAAACAAAAGATTCAAGACTGGGCAGTAATTGGCAGGATCCTGTCAGGGTTCACCGTCAATCACACTCAACACCAGGTCTTCAGAAGTTTCAGTTTATTGAGAGAGAAAGTACTTGAGACACCATGAACTCTTGTGTCAGGAATGGCGGGAGAGGCGCAGGGCGTTTGGGATATACCCCCTTCAAAGGAGACCCCCCTGATACCACAAAGCCAATAAGCAAGCACTATTAAGCGTGGGCGAAAACCCAGCCGTTAGGTTCCCAGCAGGAAGCTCGGGGAAGAAGCGCCTCTCGCCTCAAGAACACCTGCAAGATAAGCGCAAGCAAAGGAGAAAGAGTGGGAGAGGCGAGCGAGCACATCCCTTTGACTGAACATTCTAACCCATGGCAACATTAGCTGACAGATCCGAAGGATCCGAAGTTGGCTTCTTTAACAGTGGAACGACCACAGCCTCTTTCGAACCCTCCAGGTAGACCCCCAAATCTGGGGACAGATTGATAATGTCCACCAGGGGGTCCTGTATCCTCTCACCACCGGCTTTTATTCCATTGTTTCTGTACCTGGTAGACTCTTTAAAACAAGAAAATGCATAGGAAGCAGCTGTAATCCACATCAGGCCACTGGTCCATCTCATTCACTATCGTCGGTACTTAGTGGCAGTGAGTCTCCGAAGTCTCAGGGTCTTTTTAAAAATCTGCTACCTGAGATTCTTTAACTGGAGTTACTAAAGACTGAACCTGGGACTCAGCATGCAAAGCATGTGTTCTACCAGTGAATAATAGTCCTTATTCTAGTACACACAGAGGGCAGCTCCACACTTTATGTGGTTGTTTATTGCTTGTGGACTAGTGTTTCCCACAAGAAACACGTAAAGTGTTGATGAGGTGATTAGGAATAGGTGTGGCAGTTGGAACAAGGTCTTCCAGTTAATGATTATGAGTGTTTGAAGATGTGTATATTTGTGTGGATGTCTTTTGAACTTTGTTTTTGCTGCAAGAAGTACCAAATCATTTATAACGTAAAGTGTGTAGCTTTGTCCTTTGGGGGCTAAGGTTTTTGCTTGTGCTAGATGTTTGTTTCCACCACACCCTGTGCTGCACCACTGCAGCACCAGTTAATCTGTGTTGACTTTATAAACCCAGGGGAACAGGTTTAAGGTGAAAAATCACAATGTGTATTGCTTCTAAGCAAAAATGAGCTGGCACAGGCTGTCTCTGGAGGCGACAGAGAAAGATGGGGTGTGGTGCCCAGGGAGCTGGTTTTGTGCAAGTTGAAATTTGTAAACATTAAGCTTCTGTCTTACAGGGTTCTATTCAGCTTTTTTACAAAGACTTGCCCTTGTCAGTCCAGGAAGCCTATGAAACTCTGCTGTCTCAGGTGTCAATGAGTCTGCTGAAGTACCAGGTGTGTCTCAGAATTTGGGTTTAGCTGAAGTTATTGTAGCAGGTACAGCAAAAGAGAAATCCCTACCTCACATGTCATGGCAGTGAATATTAGCATTCCTGAACAATTAGAGAATCAGATATGTGATCTGTATGGATAGGAGAAGTGAAAAATGAATTGGATAGCTGAAAAATGTTCTCTGATTCCATAGTGATTGGGAATTGCCTGTTGTTCCAAAGCAAGCCCCATCAGGGATACACAACCTGACCCTGCACCAAATTAGTTACCAGAGTATAATTACTTAATGCAGTCATCTGACTTAGAAGGATGTGTCGAGATCAGGGCCCTGCAGGGACTTTTACAGTTCTGCAGGGCCTCTAAGACGGAGCTCTTCCACCAGGCTTTTGGGTGAGACAGCGGACATCAAATATCATCTGGCTCCTCTTGTTACCATCCTGTAACCTCTCTGTTACCATCTGTACCATGGTCTTCATTTCAAGGACACAGAATGATAACCACCTTGGTTTACCCAAGGTAGGATACTTATAATCGGGAATCCCTTATGGGATCTAGCCCTTTCTGCCTTTAATTGTCTAACACTAGGGCACTATTGTAATAGTTGTGATGCAGTTGATCATCATCGTTTAAGGCAGGGGTGTCAAACATATGGTCTATGGGCCGGATCAGGCCCTTGGAGGGCCCCAATCCAGCCCGCAAGGACCTGGCTGTTTCCTGCTTCATTTTCCAGTTCTGCTGCTGCTGCCATGTCACAGCATGCTTTATCAATCTCAGTCACACAGGAGAGATAGATAGGCAAGCCTCTCCTGTGCAATTAAGAGAGTCTGGTAAAGAATTAGCTGAGGCTCCTCCCCCTCCTCCCAGGGGGAGGGAGGGAACAGCCAGAGCTTGCTTCCTGGCCAGGCTGCAGGAGACAAAGGGAAGCCTTTCTTTCCTCCCACTGGTTGAGGCTCATCCCTGAAGGGAGGAAGGGAACGAGGGAGAGCTTGCTTTGCTAGGCTGCCTCAATCACACGGGAGAAATACCAAGCACCGATACTTATAATCGGGAATCCCTTATGGGATCTAGCCCTTTCTGCCTTTAATTGTCTAACACTAGGGCACTATTGTAATAGTTGTGATGCAGTTGATCATCATCGTTTAAGGCAGGGGTGTCAAACATATGGTCTATGGGCCGGATCAGGCCCTTGGAGGGCCCCAATCCAGCCCGCAAGGACCTGGCTGTTTCCTGCTTCATTTTCCAGTTCTGCTGCTGCTGCCATGTCACAGCATGCTTTATCAATCTCAGTCACACAGGAGAGATAGATAGGCAAGCCTCTCCTGTGCAATTAAGAGAGTCTGGTAAAGAATTAGCTGAGGCTCCTCCCCCTCCTCCCAGGGGGAGGGAGGGAACAGCCAGAGCTTGCTTCCTGGCCAGGCTGCAGGAGACAAAGGGCAGCCTTTCTTTCCTCCCAGAGGCTCATCCCTGAAGGGAGGAAGGGAACGAGGGAGAGCTTGCTTTGCTAGGCTGCCTCAATCACACGGGAGAAATACCAAGCACCTTTAAGACCAAGAAAGTTTTGTTCAAGGTATAAACTTTTGTGTGCCTTGCTACAGTGTGTGTGTTTTGTTGGGCTCTTTATGCCAGGGGTCTCCTGGGTGCAACTGGGTTCCCTCCCCCTTTTCACTGTATTCATGCCCTCATGATCCAGTCTTTCTCAGTAAGAAAGCAATGTGAACTATTTTAGAGGAGGAATAACAACAACTAGCTAGTGAGGTGGATTAGGCTGAGAGTGTGTGTGTCCAGACCAAGTTCACCCAGTACATTTCCTTTGTAAGAAGTTGTAGTGATTTCTCTGGGGAAGACAAACACGTAGCCCTCACTCTCTGTCAGGATGCCTTCTCATGTTCTTGACCAGCATATGAAGCAACTTATGTACAAAAGCTGGCAATGCCCAGCCATTTCATGTTTTCCCCTGGGTCCTAGGCTCAGAACACTGAGCATGAGATTTCTGTAATGACTGTCAATAAATCAAAAGTAGGTTTGCAACTTACAGATACACACCTGAACAGCATACTCCAGATTGCTACAGCACAGACATTATGATGCAATAATTCAGAGGAAGAGGTATCCATTATCAGAGACTTTCAAATAGACAAAGTATTGCAAGAGTGCTAGTGTTTTAAGCATGTTTTATTTAAAGTTTAAAATTTTTTAAATTGTGTTTGTCTATGTCCTTTATAAAGTTTATATTTCCACTACTTGGCATTACATTTTATGACATACATGGCCCAGCCCAACAAGGTCTCATTATGTCAGATCCAGCCCTCATAATGAATGAGTTCGACACCCCTGGTTTAAGGGTTACGTTTATAGTTTTAATCTTGATTTTATTGTTTTATATTAATGTTGTAGCCCGTCCTGAGCCCACTTGCGGGAAGGCCAGGATATAAATTGAACCAAATAAATAAATAAATGTGTAACCATGCCACTGGAATTTGGAGCTTGATTGTACATTAAATAATGGTGGTGGTCACCTACACTTTAACCGCTGAAGCCGTAGCTCTTTAATTTTGCCAGACCAGGCTTATTGCTACAGTGAATAGAGTGACCGTGCCTGGATTGTGGTAAATGCCGTGCCTGGCATTCTGTAAAGGGAGGAACACACCAAATGGGTGTGGAATGAGTCAGTGTAATTCTGCAGTATGTCACTCTCAATGTTTGCCAGCAAACCTAGGTTTTAGGACACCATGAATAATGATTTGCTGTGTCTTAAAGCAAGAGGTGAGTCACCCTGCATTCTATTATACCATCCTGCCCCGGTTATTGTCCAGTGATCAGTTTGTAGAACTTGCACAAGGTATTCCACTGGTTCAGGTTTTGGTTTGTCAGTGGATTTTCTGGGTGGCGTATGGTAGGTTCCACATATGTAAGACAGGAATAATGAGCATTGTTGTCACAGCACTGTTGAGAGACAAGAGAGATTGTAAAGTGTTCTGCATACTCAAAGGTTATCTATATCTAAATAATAATGCTTGTTTTGATCTCAGATTGCTTGAGCATGCAAAATCACTTAAGGTCCATTTTTATTCCTTGTGAAGACTGCAGTGCCTCGGAGCTAGTTTGCACATTTTGTAATGTGTTTCAAAAAGTGTTGTGCTTGCGTGACGAATGTGCATGCAGTTACTTTAGTTATTATTCTTGCCAAGCAATTCCACCACTTACATCATATCTAAGAAAATAATGCACATGTATTCAGTCATTAGACCCGATACAGGTACATTTTTTGAAGGGATGGGGTCCAGTGTGGTGCCACTATACATATGTGGGGTGGAAAATAGGAATTTACCATCCCTGACATATGAAATAGTATTTAGTCACAGACACTGTAAAATTCTTAATATACATGTTCTCTTTAACGTGATTAGCACTGTGCAGTTTCAAAGATGGTCACCTTGCTTTCTGTTCCTTTTAAAAAGGTATTCAGCCACTTGAAGAGGCTTGGTTACATTGTGCTGAGATTCCATTCCAGGTAATTATCCAACAGTGGGTTCCCCCTACCTTGTAACATCTTCCTTAAACCTTCCCCTTGGGCAATCATTTTAATAAGCTTCTTCAGATATGTAGTAAGATTTCATAGAATTAAAATATGTGAACTTTGCCATTTCCATGTATTTTAGCTACGATTGGTCCATTACACTTGGACAGATCATATTGTGGTTGTGGTAATGGTTTTCCTACATCTGTGATCATTATCTCAGTCTTCTTAAGCTAATCTGTATCTTCCCCATCCTTCAAGTTAGCAGTAAGACCTATACATGCACTTAGCCTGTTTGAAAACACTCACCTGAGTGGGAGGAAGGGCAGTATGTGTCTTTGGGTGTTTCAGCTAAAAATGTTTGCAGCTAGTTTTGAATGGGATTGTTCCAATGATTTTAATTTTCTCTATTTCTCCCATAGTGCTATTACAACACCTTATGAGAGGCAATTGAATTTGGGCAGCCACTATCAAAATGCAAAGCAACACCATCACAAGAGGAAAAGGAGCTCCAGCCCTCGGTAAAAATTTATGGGAACCAGAAGAGAGAGCCTTAACAGGCTATCCCTTAGAGGGCATGTCGTTTTACTGAGGGAAGGTGTCAGATCCCCCCCCCCCCCGGGTTCAGATTTGTTTCAGATAAATTATTATAGGTGATTCTGAGCTTAGTTCTATTATTGTTATTTATTTATTTATTTATTAGCTTGCCTTTTTACTGAGACTCAAGGCAAATTACAAAGTAAAGGTAGAGGGAAAATGCGGTATTACAGCCGAAGACATTCAATGAACAATGTAATAGCACTAGGAGTACAAAATTCAATGACAATGTGAATAGCAAACTGCCTATGGAAAGGTGTAGTCTGAGCAATGCAGAAAGTAAGATTACAAAGGTATAAGACAATGCAATAAAAGCAAGGTAACCTCCTACAGTAATAGAAGAAGAAGAGTTGGTTTTATACCCCACCCTTCACTACCTGAAGGAGTCTCAGAGCGGCTTACATTTGCCTTCGCTTCCTCTCCCCACAACAGACACTCCGTGAGGTAGGTGGGGCTGAGAGAGCTCTGAGAGAACTGATCTTGAGGGAATAGCTCTGAGAGAACTGTGGCTGACCCAAGGTCACGCAGCTAGATGATACCTACAATAATCATTACAGCAGACTGCAGACTGCTTACCATCTTACTACTTTTCTGATTACGTTATAAGAATGCCCTGCCTGAGCATTTCTGTTTTGCAGAATGGTAATACTATGAGACCCTCCCTAACCTCCTCAGGCAGGTCATTCCACCAAGTGGGAACCACCATAGAAAATGCTCATGAACAGGCAGCGGCCAGACTCATCCCTTTGCAGGGAGGAACCTTCAGAAGACTTTGCTCAGACGAACAAAGCTGCTGTGGTGGAGCATAACAGGAGAGGCGGTCCTGCAGGTATATGGGTCCTAGGCCATGGACGGCTTTGTAGGTGATAATCAGTACCTTCAATTGAACCTGGTAACTGGTTGGTAGCCAATGGAGCAACTGCAGGATGGGCATAGCACGCTTGTTCCACCTAGCACCCGCTAGTGACTGGGCTGCCGTGTTTTGTACCAGCTGCAAATTTCTGAGTTGCCTTTTAAGAGTGGCCCCATGTAGAATGCATTACTGTAATGTAGCCTCAATATAACCATAGCTTGGAACTGTGTGGCCAGATTGACCGAGTCAAGGTAGGGGGCCATCTTCCTTGATAACTGAAGCTGGTACAATGCTTTTTTTGCGGCTGTGCTAACTTGCTTTTCTAGTAGTAATGCTGGGTCCAGTATAAGCCCTTGGCTTTTAACTGAGACACAAAGTATCAGCTGGACCCCATCAAAAGTGGGGAGCACAATGTTTTGAAGACCTCAGCCTTCCCACACAGCATTATCTCAGCCTAGTCAGGATTCAGTTTCAGCTTGTTCATCCTTAACAACTGCAGCACTAAGACACTGGCTCAAGACCTCTAGAGAATCCCCAGATGATTTGGATAAATAAATACAGAGCCAAGTGTCATCAGCATATTGCTGACATCTTACCCCAAAATTGCAAATTATTTCTTCTGAGATCTTTACATAGAGATTGAATAGCATGGGGGATAAGACGGAGCCTTGGGGAACCCCACAAGACAAGTCCCACATTGGCAGCCCTCTGAGTTCTACCTGTAAGGAACAATTTAAACGAGTCCCTACTTCTACCTCCAGGCACCCCAATAAGATGGTATGATCCACACTGTCAAGCCCTGCTGATAAGTCCATTAAGAGTAATAAAGGGGCACAACTTTTCTCTGCACTCAGGTTATCAACTAAAGCTACCAATGTCCTTTTTTGTCCCATCGCCTGGTCTGAAGCCAGACTGAAAGGGTCGTAGGGCAGATGAGCTATCCAGGAAGACCTGGAATTGTTCTGCTACTGCCCTCTCGATCATTCTTGCCCAGAAAGGGTGAGTTGGAGACTAGGGAGAGTTGGCCACATCATTCTTCTCCTGTTTTAACATGCCCTAAAGTGTGAATTGAAAGATCCACACAAAGTACTGTGTATAGATACGGGGAATTTTGTTGCAAACTCATGGGAACCTCCAGGTTTACAGACAAATCCAAAAAGTATTTTAAAAGATTTTTAGATCTAGTTAAGGCAGAGAAGCAGTGGGTTGGATGCCATTATTGGCCAGCAGAAGGCTCTGATGGCTGTGGATTTTTCTTGTGTTCTCCTTTCCCAGCAGTCTGTTATGACCCCACGAAGGTTTATTCACATGGTTGCAGAACCTGTGTGGCCTAATAGCAGGTTGAGAGGCTCTGGTGGGCAGGGGGAAGTGAACAAAATCACTTTCTCATTTCACTTCTGTCAGTGATGGAGGAGGGGCGAGAGGGCAGTTTTGCCCCCTCCCCTCTGCAGCCGCCCCATGCCCAAGAGATAAACTTTCCAAGGGTCAGGAAAGACTGCTAGGAGAAGGAGACATGTGGGGCAGATCTGTGGTTCTTGCATACACAGATCAGACATCAGAACTCAGACAAAATATGCCAACTGATGGCTCATGAAGCCATGAATTGGCATCACAATTCGGCCTTTTTCTCAAAAGGGATAGCTAAGGAAAGGAGGATAAAGTGGCAACAGGAGGGGAAAGGGAAGGACGCAGTGGTGACAGGAGGGTTGAGGGAGGGAGCAAGGCACTGGCAGAAGGAGTAGAGGAGGAGGTGGTAGTGATGGGGAGGCAACAGCAACAGAGGCAGGATGGGGGAAGGAAGAGAACAGTAGGAGCAGTGGAAGAAGAGGAGACAGCAAAGCCAGCTTGCAGGACAAACATTTCAGACATTAGGATGTTTCAAAACAGTGTTTAAAGTACAAATATATATACAATGTTTGAAATTATTTAATAAAACACATAAATACACAAACAGGGAGGAGTGGCAATAAGAGTGACAGAACAAAAAAAGCGTCACCAGCTGACAGAAGACAACAATAGAGGGAGACATACACGTAATGAATCTCCTTGGGGAGGGAGTTCCACAGTTTCAACAGCACAATGGAAAAGGCCTTTTCTTGGGTTGTGACCTGTTTAGCCTCAGATGGCAGGGGCACCTGAAACAGGGCCTCTGACAATGGAGTGGTCAGGTAGGTTCATATAGGAGTAGGTGGTCCGTAAGGTATGCTGCCCCAAGTTGTACAGAGTTTTAAAGGTCAATACCAGCTCCTTGACTTGGGCTGAGAAGAAAACTGGGAGCCAGTGTATTTATTTATTTGCATTTTTACCCCGCCCTCCCCGCGAACGGGCTCAGGGCGGCTTACACAGGGGCATAAGCCCATACATAACACAATATAAAACAGTAAAACCATTAGATCACACAAACAGATAAAGTGCTCCATGCAGACAAGATGGTTTCTGAGGATGGTAGCAATCAGATGGAACAAGACTGGAGTTGTATGGTTCCTGTGACCTACTCCAGTCAACATTCTTGCTACAGCATTCTGTACCATCTGTAGCATCCAGACAGTTTTCAAGGGCACCTTCATACAGAGCACATTGTAGTAATCTAATCTAGATGTTACCAGGGCATTCACCACAGTGTCCCAGGAAAAGCCTCACCCGGCCAATATTACCCTCTGTTTATCCAACAGGAGGCTGAAGTTCAGTAGCCACCCCCAAGCTATGAACTTGCACTTTTAGAGGGAGTGCAGCCTCATCCTTAACAGGAGACATCAGAATTCCTGGGTCAAGGCTTTTCCTCACTAGTAGCACCTCCATTTAGTCAGGATCAAGTTTCTGTTTGTTAGCCCTCATCCATCCCAAAACTGCCACCAAGCACCTGTTCACAGTTTCCATAGCCTCTCTGGGATCTGCTGGAAGTACGAGATAGAACTGATTATCTTCTGCTCTGTCCAAATCTCAGAATGACCTCCCCCAATGGTTTCAAATAGTTGTTAAAAAGCATGGGAAACAAAATGGAACTTTGTGGGATCCTGCAGGCTGTAAGCCAAGGGGCCAAGCAACATTTCCCCAGCACCACGCTCTGAAACCTACCTCGTGTGTACTATGATTCACTAAAGGGAAATGTGATGAAGAATACCTGTGTTTAAAGGCCCTTTCCTCTTTGTGTGTTGCATGACAGAAAGCCCAAAATATCTGAGGAAACTCAGGAATGCAAGCAGCCACCCCAAAAGGCTGGGAGGCATCATGAGGGTTCAAGCCACCCAGTGTCAGACGGAGGAAGTGTATCTGGGGAGAAGGTGAAGGAATCTGATCCTGAAGCTGCAGTTGTGGAGACCATCCCATCTTCCAGTGATGCAGTACAGCGTTATCGATCTCCTTCAGTTTGTATCAGAGACCACCGTGAGAGATCTACCATGGCATCTTGGGAAAGTCAGGGTAACACTTGTCAGTCTCGCTGGGATTTCACCACCATTATTTTCCCCAACATGGGTGCTGATTGCCCTCAAACCCTCCTGTCACAGCCTGATAAAAGATTCCTCCCAAAGAATGTAACTGCATGGGTGGTCGATGCAACCAGGTGGCGGAAAAAGCTCAACCGAAAATGTGAGAAGTTGTCTCACAAGGAGCGGGAGCAGCTCGAGTGGGAGAGAAGGTACAAAAGCAGTATCAATGAGGATAAGGAGGTCAGGCAGTGTTCCACCTGGCAGGAGTACAAGGCTCTTCTAGAAAAGAAGAGACAACAGAGGAAGAAGAAGTACCCAGCAAACCTCTGGCAGCAGGCGGTCACCCCACGTGTGAAGCCAGATCAAGGTCTTACAACAGGTATTTTATGTGGGTGTGTGTGTGCGTGGATGTGTGTTGCTTGTGTATGTATATACATAATATTTTGCTGTCAAGTTGCAGCCAACTTATGCCAACCCCATAGGGTTTTCAAGGCAGGAGATGTTCAGAGGTGGTTTGTCATTGCCTGCCACTGTGTAGCAACCCTAGATTTCTTTGGTGGTTTCCCATCCAAGTACTAACTAGAGCTGACCTTGCTTAGCATCCGAGATCTAATGAGACTGGGGTAGTCTGAGTAAACCAGGTCAGTGCAGGTATTTTGGCTTCTGATAAGAAGACTGAGCATTTAAAGGATGACAAACGTAGTACAATTCATGTGGAATGCACGGACATTGGGAGAGAACCAAATGAAAGGACACTGAAGAGAACTATAAGATTTTGTAGAAGTGAAAACTTCTAAGCAAATCTGGGAAGATCTGTGACAATGGTAGCTCTTGTATCAGAAAAGAGAGAGGCAGTGTAGAGCTTGAAGAAATGAACTCTTGGGTCACAAAAGATGTTGAATTAAATGTTTAGTCTTTAAAACACCACTGGACTTCTGTTTTATTTTGCAACAACAGACAACACTATGACCCCTCTGCAGTTAAGGTAGGGCTTTTGCTTGACTTTATCCCCTGAAAGTAGAGAAATGGCACAGGCTTTTAGGTTCTTGTACTTAAAATAAATTTCTCATTCAAGTCAATCAGTGGTTCAAATCCGCTGGTATGGCAATATTGTCCTCTTCCCTCCCTCACACACAGGATTTTCTCTTCTGTTTTCTTCCTTGCTGAGCAGCTCTTTAATCTATTTTCTTCTTATTTGTTTGACTGTGTGTGTGTGTATAATAAATTTTATGCTGGCCCAGCCCAGCTCAGGGAACTGACGAAAGAGACAAAATCACCTTCTTACTTTCTGCTTTTGAGATGGCACATATGAGAGGCTTTTGAAAGTTCAAAATAAACCAAATGTTTTATTTAACTTGGAGGAGAAAAGGTCAGGTGGAATCAGGTGTAGGATGTATGAGGTGAACAGATAATACAACTGAGGTAACTTTGACCTTTGTAAGTACTGCGTAGAATGCAGCTATACAGTAGATCTAAATGAATTACCTGGGAGAACTGCAGTTTCCCTTGCAGTAAAATCACTTTCATTCATGCAGTGTCTTTCAAAGAAGTAAAAGCCTTGAGGAAAGATGTGTTAGTAGTGTAGGTTGGACAGAGCCATCCATCAGTGAAAGATATTGACGGTTGCAGACCTTTTCCATATTCTCCGTCCCACAGCAGTCCCACCTGACCCCAGGAAAGTTGATCTTTGGTGTCATGGAACCTGTGTGGCCTAATAGCCATGTTGGTTGGGGGGCTGTAGTGTGGAGGGGAAAGGGCCCAAAATTGTCCCTCCTGACTCTTCCATCAGTAGAGTTGTGCTGACAGAAGACGGAGGCAAGGTTATTTTCTTGTCCTTAGTGCAGCACCCTGATCCATGTGGCTATTAGTCTACATGGTTCCCACAACCCCAGGAATCAACTTCCCCAGATTCAGAAGGTACTGGGAAGGATGCAGGAAAAATTTGTTATCTTGTATGTATGGATCACTGAATCCAACAAATGTGTAATTCATATGGTGGAGCAGGCAGGACTGATTATGTTGCACACATGCAAATCAGTATGGCATAGAAAATTAATACTTTTTGTTAACTTTGCCCTTTTAAAAAACCCACATACCTAGTCCTTGATGTTGTGGCAAAAGTTATTTGAAAAGCATTGAACATTCCCAATTTAGAGCTCAGAAATCCAGTTCATGACTTCTAGCCTCCCCTCCTTGTTACTTTTTTCTGTGTTCCAAATACTTTGAAACCATTATGTGCCTTCAGCAAACTGATATGTGTTTGCCTGACTTGTTTCTGTATGCAGCATTTGCATTTCATGGCCATAGAATACTGGTTGTGTTTATGCAGAAGTATGAATTGAGCACATTTTCATTAGTAAATTCTCTCAGCTGAGGAAGAGGCTAAGAACACCTTCTTCTTGAAGGAAAGGAGTCAGAAAGATCAGATGGTGCAAATAGCTGTCTAGCTGGAGCAGGTATGCAACATTTCCCTAACCCAAATCTCTCTCATGGTTCCCCCCCCCCCTCTACCAGCTGATATCCTCCAGCAGATCAATGTACTCCAGCCCTCCCACATCCTGGATGGAGCATCCCAGTAAGTATTGTGTTGGCACAGTGTTTTACAGTGCAACCCTCTGCAAAGTTACTCCAGTCCAAGTTCTCTGGATTAAATGGGTTTAGGGCCAAAGTAGACATTATGGTGGCCATGAATCCTACCCATGGGTCACCGATGTCATTTTAGAGAGAAATCCAGCCACTTAAAAATGCTGGGGGGGGGGGTGATCATTTTGAAATGGCTGAATTTGTCTTTAAAATTGCATTGGTGGCCATAGACCTGTCACCACCATAATGTCTAGCTTGGCTCTTACACTGCAGCACCTCTGCACAGGATTCTACTGCTAGTCTACTTCATTACTCCTGTAGTTTAAAATAAGCTGGTTGCCCTGCTTCAGGTTACAATTTATCTAGAGGCCTCTGTGTGAAGGCCTTCCAGAGGCATGTGGCTGGCCACTGTGTAAACAGGATGCTGGATTAGATTAACCGTTTGTGTAATCTATTGTGACTGCACTTATGTTTTTATGTTGCTGCCCCACAGTTCTAGAGTACCCTTTCTCAGGTGGGGCCCTGGCTTTGCAAGTGCTCTTTTAAAAGATTAAAACTTTGGGTTGGATCCCATGGAAAAGATCCACTTGCACATGTGGGAAGGTGATTTTTGCTAATTCCTCCTCTACTATGTCACCCTTCAGCTCCTCCTTCACGCTGCTTCTGGGGATCCCCCAGGAACAGCATTTCAGGGGGCACTTCAGGCTGCAGTGTGTCTGTGTGGGGGAGCTGTCCCTGCACGGAATTTAGACAGAATCCAATCCAACCCTGTTAGGCTAACTTTTTGCACTTGGGGCCTTTTAATGGTTTTATTGGGTATTTTTGTCACTTTTTTACCCTGATCATTTTTTCACTGTGAAAAAATGCCTTCAAAGCAGTATATCAATTTTTGTAAATAAATATAATGTTTTGGACATGTCCTTATGAAAGAGTTAACATTTGAATTGAGTCTTTCAAGAGACTGTTGGCAAATGGACCCAACCAGGAGACAACAATTAAATTTCAGTTTCCAGTGCTTCTCTTACTATCATTTTGAATCACCCTTATTTAATCACCCAGGTACCTAACTGATTTTTTCATCCCTGCTTTCCCTTTTCTCCTTGGAACTAAGATAATTTGTTGGATATTCAGACATGTCTTTGCTTTATTTCCAGCCCCTACAACCTTTTTTAGATGCTTGGGAATTTAAGATTAAGTTGATGGAGATGCCTGAGATCTCAAAAATCTAAACCTTTGACTTTGTGGGCTCTGTTCCTAAGGGGGAAACTTTGCATTACTGGGCAAATCCAGATGCTTCCTTTAGCATTAACAATATTACAAGGAAAAATCCATCATTCTCAATGAGCACCTGGATATAAACTCATTTCGTCCCAATCTTCCTCAGGAGTAATCCTATTGTATTGAAAGGTGTCAGCCTCTTGATACAGCTCAATGTTATGTTAGGAGTAAACCAGTGCTTAAACTTCTTTATTTCTTCCTTTAGCATTAACTGCATGCAGACATGCAACATGGAATTTGGGGGTGTGGGGATTGGGAACCCTGAGGAAAACCAGCCATCTCTTTCATTTAAAAAAATCAAGTGTCTAGGCTACATGGTTGCAGAAGTAAGCTAGTCTAATATTCAGTGCACCCTGCCAAGTTCTCCGTTAGCGATGACCAAAATCCTCCCTACCACTATCCTGTAACTGTTGTGCCCCACATGGAGCGAGGACCTTCTGTTTATTCCATTCCAGTTCATATAAAAACTTGCTGCACCTGAAGATTCCCCCCCCCCCCCCATTTGTAGGAATGGTAGACAAGAGAACTTTGCAGTGTCTTTTTCACTTTGTACTGATGACTGGCCTCCTTAACAGGATACAGGATGATTCCAGAGGCATGAAGATAGATTTTGATGTGTATCCAGCAGACACAGCTTCTAGCTTTAAGAAGAATAAACCTGGGAAGCCTTTTGTCCGGATATGTGTTCGGAGGTATTGGGTGGTAATCATTTTAACTATTTTTTTAAACATTTTATTCAGGATATAATCAACAAAGTCCAACACAAGTTTACACCTTTCTCCCAGTTTACATCCTACCCTCCTCCCTTTCCCTCCCCTACTTGGCTTCCCACAGTGCTACAACCTCCTGCTCAAATCTTCAATTTTCTTTTTCCATCCCCTTTCCCCTAATACGTTCAATAGGTAACTAAACCTTCATTATTACACTTCTATTTTTATCATTTCACATTACTAGTCTTTAAACATTCAATGGTAAATAAAGCAAAATATATTGTCTCTTACATTATTACACTTCTATTTTTATCATTCCACATTGCTAATCTTTAATTCTTCAAAAGTTATTAAAACAACCATTTTAACTATTAAGTGAATTGCAAATTCTGACTGGGTGTATAATTTATTTATATCCCACCTTCCAGGGAGCCAACATGCGGGAATAAAAAAATGAAGAGCAATTCCTGATAAAGTAAATAAAATGGCATTAAAGCACTCAAAATACATTGTGCATTAAAAACTTGTTAGATTAAAATTGTCTCACCAAGGTATTGTTTACTTTGCAGCTTTGATGAACAGATCCCAACCCTGAGGGCAGTGAAACAGCTTGCTTATCAAAGTGGTGATGTCCCGGTGGTCTTTGCGCTAGTAGACAGTGGAGACATTGCTTTCTATTCTTTTAAGGAGTTCAAACTGCCTGTGGATGTATACCCCTGACTGTTGCTGCTGTGACCTGGAGAAACATCTTTGAGGCTGGGCTGTCTGTTGTGCACATGTATGAAATGTACTCAGGAGGTTGCTCAGCTCGATACTGTGTAGAAACCCTACCAATATTGTGTCATCAGGGCATGAAGAAAACTGCTCATTCATGAAAGCAAAAGGCAATTTAAACATGTTCTTTCTTTATCGCATCACCTCAGTACTTCCTGAACGGAGATGTGCAGCTAGTTTTATTCTTTTAACACACCAGTTCATATTGTTAGACCGATATTAAGTGGATTTCTTTTGTTGCACGTACAGAATAGGCTCCGGTTGACTGAGAACCAGTTTACTAAAGCAGTACTGAATGGTACACAGAAATCTTGCTGTAGGTTCAGTAATCCAGTTGGGTTTTTAATGGTCTCTAATAACTGTGGCACTAGCAGTTGTGAGATTCAGTCCTTTGAAATCTGGAGGGTGGGGGAGGGGGAAAAGTCTCCAAAACAGGATTCAGCCACCTGATGGATCCTTTAGCATTTATTTAGCAACTGGAGATTGATGTTTGGTCTAACATGTAGTATCAGTGATTCACCAGCTGATAAGACAGAGAAATAACAAGATTCTATTACAATAATGTTCTGATCTAGCTTCAGAGCCAGTAAGCCCTACGGGGACAGACTTCTGTTGCTAGTATGTTGGTCATTCTTCAATGGCAATATTCTGCTAAGGAAGAAGAACAGCATTGTGGCAAGATCTCCCAGAATCCATGGAAACATGCCATCATGTCTTGCAGTCTACAAAGTTAACGAAAATTGAATTATTAGAAGTACAGTCACCATTATCGACTGGCTTCCAAGCAAGGGAACCTTTACCTTTACTTTTACACCATTATTGGGACCACCATGCTCAGTTTCTGCATTTTCAGAACAATAAACTGCTACAGTATTGCTTGGGTAAAAGGGACTGGTTATTTGAGTTCAGGGATTCTTTCATTGGAAGTTTCACAAAGGGATTTAGGAAGCGGTTTTATAAATTTTGTTGGGTTTTGGAAGCTAAAGCAATAAAATACCTTTTTCCTGTTCCATGGTGTTGTTCCGTTTTCAAAGGGTATGCTTCCCTGGGTAAAATGTATTTGAGTCAAATACTTTGGAGCTTTCTTCCCGTTTGGTGGTGATGCAGTAATGATGGCTTGCATTTTGCTACTGCCAGCATTTGCTGACAAATGAATTCCCAAGTGGTATCCCAAAATTCCCTGCACATTCTTCTGCAACACAAAGGAACCATTACAAATTTCTGTGTGCGTCTCATCCAGGTGATCATGGAGGAACAGACAAAGCTGAGAAATACTGTTTCAGCAAGCGGTCTCGTATTTTCCAAATGAGGCTAAGGCTAACAGCTATTTCCATTGTATGTGCTGTATTTTTTAAAACAGTGATCATTATGAAATGACCATGATACCAGGTTAATTTTATGGAAGGTGTCAACTTGAGTTAACCTTTACCCCGTGTGTGGTTTGCGGGAAATTATTTGCTCCTTCTAGCATGGCTACACCTTAATTGGTTCCTACTGCTCTTTGAATGTGGCTGGCATGTCGTCTGGATGATGTGGATTAACCTGTTAGCAGTCAAGCATCCTACCTTGCTTTAATAGGCTAGGTAATGTTCTGACCCTTCCTAGCTTGGTTTGTCGATGTGGTGTATGAAAGCATTATTACAGCTTAATCTAAACCATGTTGTCAAGAAACTGGCCTTATCTTGACCTGTCAAAGTTTGGTCCGGGCTTTTGGCCTTAGTCAAGTTACTGAAGGAAATTAATGTCACAATGACTTGAAGCTTGAAGAGGGGTGTGAGATGGAGCCAGGCACAGGTGCAAGTGAAATCATGGGCCTGGGAGCTTCAAGGCCAGAGACACTGAGGGAGGTTTGCACTCACGTTCCATCTCATTTGCACAAGTTAAGTTGCCTGATGTACTTGCTGCAGAAGTATGTGGTCATGTGTCTTAGCAACACACCCGACTGGCCAAACAGGATCAGGCCAGCTACAGGCAGTCTGACAAAGCAAAACCATTCATTCTAGTTTGATCCTTCCTTCCTCTCGATCCTTCGGACTTGCCTCAGATTTTGGACCTGAAGTTCTATCTGGACTCTCTATCCTCCATCTGTCCAGGTAACATCTGGGTCAGAGGACTAAAGCCTGAAGAAGTTTTTAAGGATAATTATTTAGTTTTATTATTTCCCCCCTGTTTTGTACTGCTATATTTGTATACTTTTGCACATATATTTTAATAAACGTTATTAATTATATTCTTGTGTTATTTGGGTTTGAGGACTTCAATCTAATTCCAGAGCCTTGGCCTACATTGGCTACAGCTACCTAGTAATTGTTTTTGGAACTCAGGTTGCAAGTGCCCTACCTTGCAGGGCTGACTTCTTTATTAACACCCAGTTGGGCTGGAGACTTGGTCCCTCAAGTGAGGGTTAGCTTAGGGGGATTGGTGGTGGCTTGTTACCCTGGGCAGTGGGGATTTACTCCCAAGTATTGCATTTTGCCTTTGACCTTCAGCCAAAAGCCTTCTTGTTGGATACATGCATACACCCTGAAAACACAAGGCTAACTAAGGGGAAATCACAGAGGAGGGGAGAAAGCAATTGTGGGGAGGCTATAATTACCAATCTCAAAGAAAGAGGTCCGCAGAGGCAGCAACAAAACGAACAGCATTTTGGGAAGTGAGAGAGAGAAGGCCCATGCACAAGTGGGGGTGTGCAGGGAATCTAAGAGCACACACACATACTGCACTGGTGGCTAGGTACAGATATAGGGCAAAATCCTGCCTGGGGCAGGCTGATGTATTTGCCCCCAAAACAATAAGTTGATTGGGTTTTTGGAGGTAGACAATGATTTGGGAGAAACTTGATGGGTTTTTTGGAGATGGACTATAGGTGTAAATGATTCTTGATGACCCACTAAGTACCAGATAGGAAAAGCTATCAGGTTTTCAATTCAGTTCAATTTATTACAGTCATAGACCAGCAAACAGTACAATAAGAGACAAGTTAATAACAAGTAAAATAACAGTAAAATTATAGAGTGAAATAACATCTAAAATTATACCCAAAAATATAAAAATTTAAAATTCTGAAATTCCAAAAGTTAATATTAAGATCAAAGGTTAAAAATAAACCTAGGCCTATCTACTTCTTTATCTCTTTCCTAGTTTGACAGGCCAACCAACCAAATCTGGCAACCATCCTAGTCAGCTTTTGATTATTACCCACCAGCATAATTGACCTGGGTAGGAGTTATCAATAGGCTTGACCAGAATTTCCCTAATATTATGATATTACTATATTATGATATAAACTACATGACAAAGTACATGTTCCAACGTTTCATCAGTTCCCATCCCACATATACAACTTTCCCTCAAAGTTCTAGTAAATCTGGCCTCCAGTATAGCTAAGGGTAAGGCATTATAACTTAAAAAGGTAAAAATTCTTCTATGATTACAGATATCTAAATATTTGGTGTAAGGTCTCAAAGTTATCTTGTTAAGTGTACTTACATCAAATACAGGGTTCCTAATCCTACTCACATCCACCGGTCATTCAACATTTAATATTCTTTGTTTTTGGGCTGAGCATAACCCAAAGACTGTATGAACTGATTAGATAAACCATAACAAATCTGCTTATCTTTTTCTGCCATGGAGGAGCAATGTTATCTTGCATCATAGTATAAGGTCAACAGGTGAGAAAATCCGTTTTGACCAATAACAAAAAGCAGCAATCCACAGTTTTGCCTCCACCAAAACCAGGCCTGCCTCTAAACAAATTGCAGTATTTTAAATACTCGTTAGAACTTGGAAAATAGCTCTTAACATTTTTGATTGTGTTCTTCCAAGTAAGGTCAGACTAGTCTGGAGGGACCATATAATAATTGGGGTAATACTTTTATAGAAAATAACTTAATAACAGCTTCTAAATTACGACCTCCTTTGGACCAGAAAAACTTCTGAATAGCACCATTGCTTTTCTGTGCATTAGCAGACAGGTAATCAACATGGCCTTTCAGGCGACCAGATGACTGAAATATGACTCCAAGATACCTATAACAGCGAACCTGCTCAATGGGATGAGTATCAATAAACCATTTAAACACCCTAGGCTTGTTGGCAAAAAACATTATTTTGGTCTTTGTATAATTTATCTCCAGGCAGTTTTGTGAGAGAGCATGCAAAGCTCTCTTAAGGCCATTAGGGGTCCTTGAAAGCAAAACTGCATCATCCACATATAATAATAACAAGAAGGGGGAGCCGCGATACTCGTGTGGGGGGGGGAGTATTCCCCACAGCTCCCAGCCTCCAGAAGCAGGACTTCCACAGGAGAAGTAAGCAGCAGCAGGTGAGCCCAGTAGGCAGACCCATGAGGCCCACCAAGCCTTCTCCCTCCTCCCCTCCTCCTCGGCAGCAGTGGTGAGGCCTGAGTTCTGCTAAGCCTTCTCCCGCCCCCTCCCCAGTGGCAGTGAGGAGCCCTGAAGCCCGCCAAGCTTTCTCCCGCCCCCCTTTCCTGGCGACGGCAGCAAGGAACCCTGAAACCTGCCAAGCCTTCTCCTGCCCCCTCCCTGGCAGCAGCGGCGGCAAGGAGCCCTGAAGCCCGCCAAGCTTTCTCTGGCTCTGCTCCCCAGCAGCGGCAACAAGAAGCCCTGAAGTCCACCAAGCCTTCTCCCTCCTCCCCCCCCCACCGGTGGTGGTGAGGCCTGAGTGGCTCACAGCCACCAGCCCACCAAGGCTCCCCCCCCACCGTGGCAGCAAGACAGTTACCAGTGCATTCTCTGTGCACGCGCAGGGAATGCTCTTGTACTTTTGGGGGGAATTAAATATCCCCCGTATATTTTTTCCAACTGTTTAGATTTTTCTGCACACCTGGAGACTGCTCCAAGTGTGCATGGAAATCTCTCTGCCCTTCAAGTGCCCCCGATGTGCGGATTTAAATATCTGCACGAAGGGGGCAACTTGGCTATTAGATATATAGATGGAATACATCTACCTGCAAGCTTCGGAGAATGGAAATCATGTTAATGCAAAAACTGGACCATATCATTAATATAAACATTAAATAAAAGCGACACCAAAATACATCCTTGTTTTACTCCTCTGAGCTAACCATCTTTGTTAGATGACCTTGTGGATTACATCATACCCTAATAAAACTATTTTTATGCAGAGCTCTCAGTAAGAACAATAGGTGCCTATCTATTGTAGAGGATTTCAACTTATCCCATAGGATAGTTCTTGAAATAGAATGAAATGCAGATTTAAAATCTATAAAAGCTGCATACAAAGAGGTTAAGGAGTTTGAAGAGTATTCAGAAATTAAATGGTTCAGTATCACACATTGATCTAAACATGACCCTTCCTCTCTAAAGCCTGCTTGCTCCTGTCCCAAAAAACCTTCCAGCTCCATCCAGTCTTTTAACTTCCATTGTAAATGTTTTGAAT